ACTGAAATGATTACATTTCAAATCACTATTCCTGATCATTTCAGAAGACAAATCCCCACTGGTCATCATTACCAATAAAGGGCTGGTCTTGGATGGCAATCTTACAGTCAATTCCTTTAGAATAAACAGCACACCTTGTTCTTCGATGCTTTCCTGGGCTTGTGGCACAATGCAGTGTTCTTGCTTAAAAATTCACTTCAGGAGCTAGAGTGGAGCTCAGTGATACTGCACATGCCTAGCATGCTCATGGCCATCTATTCAGTCTCCAGCACACACACAAATTCAATTCAATAAATAGTGAATAAGCATGGATGCTGAGCACAGTTATAGGGTAGCTGCTGCTCAGGAAAAACAAAGACGAACAAGAAATAGTCCTTGCCCTACAGAGTTCTTTGCTAGGTGTATAAAGAGGCTCCTCAGATAAGCAGGACTCTGGAAAGACTGTGGCTGGTATGCAAGGAAGGTATAAACATAGGGTCGTGAGAATTCAAACATGGGGGACTGGACACATCAGGAGGGAAAATGCACAGAGGTGATATTTAACAACATCCTGGGAAGATACAGAATTTGGGGACAGGATCTGTGTTCTTTCCAGAGATGGCAATAGTATGGGGATGCTTCTTTAAAAAGGAGGAGGAGTGAGCCAGTTGAGCTGAAGCATGTGTTCTGAAGATACTAGGAGGCAGTGTGGGTAGGCAGAGGTTTTCTGGAGGGTCCTCAAAACTGGGATAAGCAATCTCTACTGATAGGCATAGGGAGTTGCTGCTGAATTTTGGGCAGGGAAGGAAGCATTGTTCACTAAGCAACGTCCAACAGGGTGAACCAGAGGAGAAGCAAGGGGTAGTGTGAGGAGGATGGGAGTGACACATACTCCACCTGGATCTGCTGGTTGAAGGAAGGAAGAAAAGAATTCCAGGGGACACGTAGGGAAAGGGGAAAATGCCAGTCAGTGATGCTATTAGTGTCTCTTACTTCATTAAAAAGGAAGATTTGTGCTAATACCAGTTGGAGAAATTGTTATGCCCATATCTTGTACCCAGAGCAATTTCTTTAAAGATAACAGCATGTAATGTATTAACAATTACTATTCTCTTATTATCTTTGTTATGAAATTTTGTTTTACCTTTTGTCCATAAAGTAAAATTTAAAAATAATTCCAGGGACAGCTTCTAGAATGTGGTGGCTAAATCAGTGTAAGAGATAGAGTTGATTGCTCAATTAGTGATCTGAAGGTAGAATGGTCCTTATTTCCTTGAACACAAGCAATGACAGCTCACTGGAGATTTAAATCTTCAGTATTTTCCTTTGGATTTTAGATTACAGATTCTTCATTCAACTGGGAAATACCAAAACAAGGGAGGCACTTGCCCTCCTCAGGTAGGGAGTCTAAGGTAGGAAGTTAGATAATAAACACGTGAGCAAATACCGTCGCATGTCAGGTGTTGATGGGTGTGAGGTGGGTGCGCGGGAGGCAGGGAAGGAGGGAAATCTTCCCTGATGGTAAGATGGCATTTCAGCAGTACTCTAAATAGAAGCAGGGAGCCAGCCAGCTGATGAATAAGGAAAGAACATTCCAGATAGAGAGTTAGCACCTATGAGCCGTCTGAAACTGGACCAGTCAGGTGCATCGAATTTAAGACACCAAGCAGCCAGTATGGCTGCAGCAGTTGAATGAGGGAAAGGATGATGAGAGATGAGCTTTGAAAGGTGAGGGTAGGGGTCCTGTGGGGTCCAGGAGGACAGGGAGGTGGGGGCGCTGCCTCACGTCTTGTGTGATTGTCTCTGCCAGAATCCTGTCAGGTTGCTAGCTGTCACTCTCCAGAATGTGAGGGTGGGTCTGATCGTTGTGTGAGGCAGCTGTATGCACACGGCATGGAGTTTTTAAAAGCTCCAAGCTTCAAGCAAGGCGCTACCAGGTACCCTCCTTCAAGGCCCCCCAGCCCTTGCTCTCCTACAAAGGATGTTTACTAGTCCCATGCCAGGTGCTTAAATTCATCTTTTTGCACATATCTTAGTCTTCACTGGACTTCAAATCTGTTTGCCAAGAGCGAGTTAGGGCGTGTCCCTCCCCTAGATAGTGGACAGATGCCCTATTTCCTTTACATGCTCTTTCCCCGCAGGCCCAGCTTCCTAGTGTATGTGCTTCCCATCCCTGCCAGTTAATCCCAGTCAACCTCTTTCCCATGAATCTCAGGAGAGTAGATATGAGGATCCAACCCTGTCCTCATCCACTGCCTATGAGATGGGGCCCCCGATCCTACACTGAGCCCTTTCTGTTGCATGTAGCTAGGATCTTCTTTCGATCTTTCCCCTCAACCGAGACCATTTTCTTGTACTGATTCTCTGTTTACATGTGGAAGGACTGACTTTGGAGGAAGGGCATGTGGAGGGCTCTTTGGCCTCTGTGAAGGCAGCCAGCCACAGTATAGAAGAAAGCCTATGTCTCATAGAGGGAGGCTGAGCCCAGCTGAAGTTGAGCTTAGGATGGAGCTTGTTTTCCCCCTAAGAGAGCAAACTCTTGTGGGCCAGTGTCGTCAGGGTGTCTCTGAGTTGTTTGGTGACAAATTGCTCCTTAAGAGTTAGGATTGGGGGAAAAAATAGTATTGGAAGGGCCTGGCAAGATAGCTCAGCAGAGTAAGCACCTGGAAAGCAGAGACCAGGGTTCGATCCCCAATACCACATGCCACAACGGCCCCACCTCTGGGCACACTGAGCCAGCCACGGAGTCCAGGCATGGTGGTGCATGCCTGTATTCCCAGCACTGGGGAGGCTGAAAACAGGAGGATCATTGAGCTGTGTAGTGAGACCTTGTACCAAATTAAAAAAAGAAAAATAAGTATTGGCCCTCAGCATGGACAGAGGTGGTGATACTTGATGGCTTCCTCAACGTGAATGTGCCCTGACGCTGGTGAAATTCGTCTTTGTTTCCCTTGAGGAGCTGTTGGGGGCCAGGTGCATGTTTGACCCATGCCAGACAGGCCTGGCCTCCAGCTGGAGGAGAGGCTAAGTCTGGACCCAGTTCCTGTATGTGCTGTCCTTCGAGGGCAGGGCCCACATTCTCACAGCAGGGCCTCCCTTCTCCCTTACACCCCAAAGACTCTTCAAAAGTTGGACTAAGGAGTAATATTAACTAAGATAGAAGCTAAGAGACCCCAACACACAGTAGCTTAAACTGGGAATTCATTTTCTCTCCCAGAATAAGCCAGAGGCAACTGGCCCAGAGGTCTTCCACAAAAGGCTCTCCCCTCTATCTCTGTTATAGCTCTCTACCCATCAGCAGAAAGGAAGACAAGGCCAGGGAACCCACATCCATTTCTCTTTTACACATGTTGCTTGGCAAACACTCTTCCTTCTACATGGTCATAGTCTCACAAGGCTGAGAGATAGCTGGCACACCTAGCTGTCCCTGGGCAACCCCCGGCATACCTAGTAGCCAGGAGTCAGTCACAACCCTGGTTGTGGAAGAGTATGCATACAGTTGTCACCATAAGATGCAAGTTGTCCCACTGACTGAGATGCAGAACAGTGGGGGTGGCTGAACAAGCCATCAGACCCAGAGGTGGGGGTGCTAACTGTCCTATAATGCCTTCACGACTAGGTGAGGTCCTGAGCTGAAGAATTGCCAAAAAGCCAGGAGTGCTCTTGGTGAAAAGCAGTGGACTGGGTCCCCTACTCCAGAACTGAGTCCATGTCTTGATCTTTGTCTCACAGTGAGCCCCCACTCATAAGTGAGTTCCACTCCAGGAGAGTATTACTCATTTGGAATTGTTCCTAAGTCAGACCAAGTGAGTCTTATACACCTTTGACACAGATATACGGTGTAAAGCATTAAAACGCAAAACACATACAAAAATACCATGAATAAACTATTTTTATGTTTTCCTTACAATGGTGGTTTGGTACACAGTACTGTGGCATATAGGAGTTTGCATGAGAAGAAAAGAATCACTAACTGAAGGAGGGAGGAAGGGTGGGAGACAGTGGAGCTGAAGGATAATCAGTAGGAGGAGGTGGCGGGCCAGGTGGCGTTTCACTCCCACCTGATGTTGATGACACAGGTGTTTTGATGGACCCAATTCTGTCTACCTGCTTAAGACACCAATCCAGTCCTGAGTGGGTACTATCTC